GTGTGTGTGTGTGTGTGTGTGTGTGTGTGTGTGTGTATGTATATGTATAGCTATGTATTATGAGACAAAGAATCTCCAACAATGCCATTGAGTTTGTTTTGTGTTGGCCATCTACTGCTAGACATAGGGCCTGCCCTTTAGAATGGTTTGTATACCCAGTGAGACTCTTTAAAAAAGACTAAATTTTTATTTTCGATTGGAGATTTCTTCTGGGTTAGGGATGTAGGCTTGTGTCCACCTCCACTATCAGTTCTGCATTTCCATTTGCCATATAATAAAGGCTGTATATGGAAAATCTTTTGCCAACATCATCCTAGATGGAGAAAAACATGAAGCACTCCTGTTAAATCAGGTATAAGATAAGGATTTCCACTTTCTCCACTCATATTCTGTTGGGAACCATACAGCTTGGGGTGAACCTTTAGGCCAAACTTGGCAGGCCACACGGTTATAGAACTGTCTTTTGATTATAAATGGCTTCTGGGAGCATGAGCACCCAGAAGGAACAACATGAGCCAGACATCAATCCTTTGTTCCAACCACAGGCCCACGTACCTAAGCAACCCTCCCACGTCCCACCACTCACCTAAGTAACCCTCCCTCTCCCCACCACCCATGAACTTTTTACCCTGCCAACATCCTCTTTCTATAGTTTTCTAGCATCCTGCTTAAACTAACACCTGGCTCTTGGTCTTTTCTCCCCCTCCCCTTTACCCCTTACTACTGACTATAAAAGCTAGCCTGGAAAAAATAAAATTTGCCACTTGAACAAAATCCTGTCTTGTGGTCATTCTCTCACATCTCTTGTCTCCATTCCCCTCCCTGGATTTCTTGCTCTAGGTTGCTGTCCTGCAGGTCAGGACAACTACAATATTCAATATAGTTCTCAAAGTTCTAGCTAGAGTAGCAATTTATGAGAAGGAAATAAAAGGAATATAAACAAAATAAGAAGTAGCCAATATCCATGTTTACAGATATAGATACCAGGAACACTCCACCCAAAAACTCATAGACTTGATCAACATTTTCAAAAAAAATGGCAAAATACAAAATTAACATGGAAAAATTAGTAGCATTTCTATATACAAATAGCAAATATGCTGAAAAAGAAATAAAAAAACAACCCCACTTATAATAGCCTTTTTAAAAAGCCTGCAACAAATCTAATCAAAGATGTGAAAGGCTTATAATAAAAAATTTAACCCAAAAGAAATTGTGGTGGTTTGAATTAAAAATGTCCCAGATAGGCTCAAATATTTGAACGTTTGTTCCCCATTTGGTGCTTGGCAAAAAGGTTTAGAAGATGTGGCTTTAGCTAAGGAAGTGCATCTCTAGGGGCAGGCTTTTGAGACTATCTAGACTTACCCCACCTCCATTCTCCCTGCTTTGTGTTTGTGGTTAAGGGTATGATATGTGACCATGCCTGCTGCCTGCTGCCTGCTGCCTGCTGCCATGCCTCTGCTCCACCATAATGCACTTTCATCCCCCCGGAACAATAAGCCAAACTAAACTCTCTCTTCCTTAAGTTGCCTTTGGTCTTGGTAGTTTATTACTGCAACATAAAAGAAGCTGATCTAGAGAGCAAAATGATACTAGAAGAGGAGAAAAACTTTCTGTGCTCGTGGAATGGTAGAATTATTACTGGGAAAAGGAGTAATCTACCCAAGAAAATTTACAGAATCCACTCAGTTCCATTGAAAACACCCATAACAGTCTTCACAGAAATAGAAAAAAAAAGCATTTTAAATTCATATAAAAATACAAAAGATGATGGATAGTGGAGTGAGATATCCACCCACTCCTGTAGCACTGACCATGCCCAGGTGAGGACGTGAGGGAGGAAGGACTAGATCTGGAGTAGGTGACCACAGCTTCCAGTCGGGTCACAGGGAACAGCCTGAGAGGATCCTTGTGGTGGCCACCCGCCTCTTGTGTAAATGCATTCTCCCAAATGAACTTCACTTAACCTGTACTGAGTCTAGTGAATCTTGATTCCCACGCAATAGGATAGTCAAGACAGTCCTGCGAAAACTAAATGATAATGGAGGGAAGACCATATCTGATCTTAAATTATACTACAGAGTGATAGTAATAAAAACAGCATGGGCCTGCATAGCCAACTCCCAAAAGAAGAAATACAAATGGCTAAGAAATATTTTAAAAAGTGTTAGGCCTCCTTAGTCACCAGGAAAACACAAATTAGAAGTTCTTTGAGATTTCTTCTTACCCCAGTGAAAACTGGTAGACTGCTGCTATCTAGCCTGGAGGTTCTTCATAAATCTGGAAATAGATTTACCACGTGATTCAGTTCTATCACCCCTGGGCATATATTCAAAGGACTCTGTATCCTACTATAGAGATACTGGCATATCAATGTTCATTACTACTCTATTCACAATAGCCAGGAAGTGGAAACAGCCCAGATTTCTATCAACTGAGGAAAGGATAATGAAAATCTGACACACATACACAATGGAATTTTACTCAGCTATAAAAAAAGAAATTTGCAGGTAAGTGCAAAGAACTGGAAATATTTACGGTGAGTTTGGTAACTCAGACCCAGAAAGACAAACATTGCATTTCCCCCTCATATGTGGATCCTAGCTTCAAATCTTTAGATTTCTGTGTGAATTTTGAATAATAATACAGGCCAGGAACCTAGAAGGGGGCTTTGGAGGTGGGAAATCCCAAGGGCTGGAGATAGCATAAAACATAGCCTGAAAGGAAAATAGGGAACACTGGGGAGAAAGCTAAGTGAGGAGATGGTTAAAGGATATAACTAACAATAAGGATGTTGAAAATCCATGTGTAAATCTACTATTTTCCATGCTTTCTCAAATAATATATTTTTAAATTTTTTAATCCAAGTTACCCTGCAGTGATTGAGGATCTTGTCCCCTATTAGAAAACATACATTATCAAACAAGAAGCCCATGGCCAGGTATAAGATATCTCCCTTCAAGTTGTTGGTACAGGGGATCACAGAAATCACTAAAACAGAACAAATTTGTGTCATTTTTCTTGGTTTCCCACCAGAATTTAATAATGAGGCCATACTGCTGAATATACCATACACGTGGGTCACAGAACAGAGAAATCAATGGAGAATTTACCTGGAAGCCTCCTCACTACTGATTAGCTTTCATAGTTCCAGAAGCTGCTATGAAGACTTTTGGGGAAGAATAGTCAGCAGCAATCTTAACTCTACAGTAAACTACACTAGTGGCCAACCTGGTAATGGATACCCATTGGCGCAATAGTGACATGAATATTATGGTAGTAACTGAAGACTTTCTGTTTGGATGAGACCTACTCCACAGGAGAAAACTCATGCCTTGAACTTTAAAAATGTCCATGAATTGAAGCCACTTGACAAGGATAGTGATGCCTTCCATAGGGGATCATCAAAAAATCTGTCACTTCATTTGGGGGAGGGACTAGGTCCTCTTTCTTGTATCTGGGCTGCAATACTACCCTTCCATAGGAAATGGGCTCCCAAAGTGCATTTGTGCTGTTAGTGGTCCCATAGACTTCCCAGGCCTCCTAGCTGACACCCACATTCAGAGGGCTTGGTTCTGTCCAATGCTGGTTCCCCAGCTTTACAACTAGGGTCTCTGTGCTCTCACTAGGTCAGGTCAACTGTTTCTGCGGGTTTCTCCAGTACAGCCATGGGTCCTTTGCTCATATCTCCTCCCTCTCCACAACTGCATTCCAGGAGTATGGCTCATTGTTCAGCTGTGGGTGGCGGGTATGTTGGGGGGGTCAGTGGGGTTATGGGAGGATGGGAGGGTGAGGGAATAGGGGATTGATATGTAAAACAAGAAAGAGAAATTAATAAAAATTTTTAAAAAGGAAAAAGAAATATTAAAAACTGGCCATGAATCAATGGCTAGGGAGCTCATGTCAAACTGCCTTCTAAATCCTTATCTTTATTCTTATATCTTATTAACATTCTGAGGAATCAAAAGAGAATATTCTTTTATGCATAGATGGGGTTAATACAAGATTCACAACTGGTTAAAGCAGAGAAAAGGTGTCTGTGGAATGCATCTTTATCACAATTTCATTCCTCAAGACTCAGAGAAGCTCATGGAAGAGGTGGCAGACAGATTATGTGAGCTAAATGTCAGGGAATATCGCTGTGAACCAGTTTCTTTGGAACATGACAAGGCCCATTGTACTCAAGAACTCACAGCAGTTTTAGTGGCCTGCAGAAGACATGTATATGGTGAAGGTAGTCAACATTCCAACATGGATGACGGAGGGAACTCCTGTACTCAAAGGTTATTGGAACAGGAGGAAGAGTCAGTTCTCTCTAGACTGTGGACCCTGGTAAATTGTTCTTCTTTCAGTGCATGGCTGGCCCTACACTTGTGTTCATATAGGAAGCAGTAATTGGATTTAATGGGTTATTAAAAAGAAGAAACAGGGCCAGGCTTTGGTTGTGCACACCCTTAATCCCAGACCTGGAGAGGCAGAGGCAGGCTGATCTCTGTGGGTTTGAGGCCAGCCTGGTCTCCAGAGCGAGTGCCAGGATAGGCTCCAAAGCTACACAGAGAAACCCTGTCTCGAAAAACCAAAAAAAAAAAGAAGAAGAAACAGGTAAGAAAAACCAGTCACCAACAAGAAAGCAGGGAAACACTACTCTGAGGGCAATTAGAATTAGCTGGTGTCACTTGTGAGGCATTTCAGAGTGTCTGAAGGTAACCTGTAACATATTACCATACTAAAACAGACATCCTTAAGTGGAAATTTAAGATGTTACTGAAATATGAGATTCATGAAAGCTGTATGTAAAGCTACATGTAAAAGAACATGTGTGAGAAAGCCCATGCCATATAAATGACCCCAAAAGCTTGTACTATACAAATGATCCAACTCTTACGTGATGAAAGCCACAATCCTATTAAGACTGTTGAGTTGCTAAACTTTTCCACTCTGCACTGGCCTGCATACCCCTACCTTGCAGTGTATTAATTCTTAATATATATATTTTCACTTTGTTCCCCAATACCCATATGTCTGCTTTCAATTCCTGACTCTGGAACAAAAGAACTCCTCCAGAGGTACACTCCAAACTCCAACACCTACCAATATTAATGACATTATTGAAAAAGAAAACATGGCCTTGAATCACTGTAAACCTAGTATATTTTGGGGACTTAGTATTATGTGAACACAGGTGACTATCTAGTCTGTTTTATTTGGATACAGAAAAATTAGAAAGTAAGCACTTTATTTTGTTGTTGTTGTCATTGCCCTTGTGGCTTTTGAGTCTTGTAGACCGTAAGAAGGTTCTCCACCAGTGAACCCCAGTGAAAGTTTTATGATTTTATGTTTTAGTCAAAGCCAAAGATACACTTCAGTACACAATGGATATATGTATCATCCTAAGAGGGAAAGAATGAAAACATTTTTAAATAGTAGTACAACGATACTCACTACAACATAGTGGAAGCACTATGTTAAGAGTGTATGCAGATTGATATGAACAGTTAAGATGTGTAGTTATGTCTAGGTTACCTCACTCATACACAGAAAGAAAAACTTGGCATGTACTCACTCATAAGTGAGTATTAGACATAGAGCAAAGGATAACCAGCCTATAATCCACTAGAGAAAGCTAAGAAACAAGAGGACCCTAAGAGAGACATACATGGACCTCTGGAGATGGGAAAAGAGACAAGATCTCCTGAGTAAATTGGGAGCATGGGAGAGGGGCAGAGGGAGGTAGGAGAAAGAGTAGGGGAGAATGGGAGAGGGAGGAGAACATGGGGGATCAGAAAGGTTGAATTTGGAGAAGAATAGAGGAGAGCAAGGAAAGAGATACCTTAATAGAGGGAGCCATGATGGCTTTAACGAGAAACCTGGCACTATGGAAATGTCTAAGAATCCACAAGGATGACCCCAACTAAGAGTCTAAGTAATAGTGGAGAGGCTACCTTAAATGCCCTTCCCCTATCATGAGATTGATGACTACCTTAAATGCCATCATAGAGCCTTCATCCAGTAGCTGATGGAAGCAGAAGCAGAGATCCACAGCTAAGCACTGAGCGAAACTCATAAGAATGGGAGGAGTGCTGAGCAAAGGGGTCAAGACCATATTGGGGAAACCCAGAGAAACAGCTGACCTGAGAAAGTGGGAGCTCATGAACCCTAGACTGACAGCTGGGGAACCAGCATAAGACCAAACCAGGCCTGCTGAACATGGGAGTCAGTTGGGGGCCTTGGGCAATCCATGGGGCCTCTGGCAGTGGAACCATTATTTATCCCTAGTGCATGAATGGGCTTTCGGAACCCATTCCCTATGGAGGAATACTCTTTCAACCTAGATACATGGGGGAGGGCCTAGGTCCTGCCCCAAATGATGTGATAGACTTTGATGATTCCCCCATGGGAGGCCTCACCCTCCCTGAGGAGTGGACACGAGTGGGATGGGGGGGGATGGGGGAAGAATGAGAGGACAGCAGGGAGATTGTTTTTAAATAAAAAAAGATGTGTAGTTATAAGACATCTCATTGACTATATGAAAGACCAATTTCAAAATTGAGCATATGGGTATGTAGTCCATCTACTATAAACAAACTTTCTTTTAATTACAAAATGCCTTCTGAGTCATTAAACACAGCA